ATTCTAGAATGTAAAAGGCAGAATTTATATTTATTTCCTGATTTTTTTATAGTGGTTACTAGATCGGTCAAACCAACCAAACCTGTACAGATATTTATTTGTGAAAATAACAGATAAAATATAGTTTTTTCTTTAAAATTTTGATAACTATCTGGAGATTATAAGAATTTTGCATGTGAAATTTGAAATTTTTCTGATGCATAAAAGTATTTTTAATCTTAAAATGAAAATTACTTTGCATGTTGGATAGGCAACATTCAAAAAGAAAAAAAAAAGGCACGAGAAAAATGTTGTTTTAGTAAAAATCAAAATTAAACATTATTTTTCAAAAACTGCATACTTATAGGACTTTTCATCTCAAATTAAAAGAATTTCATCCACTAGTTTCATTTTTGTAAAGAACTTTCACAAAAGTTGCATACCTACTTGCAATAGTCAAAATGTTAATGTATGTGTGTTAAAACTCAAACATTTTAAACTTTACATTAAAAAAAGAGTACAAATTGATGTGCATACAAACATTTGTTTGTCTATAAAGTTATAAAAAAGACTGTATTAGAGGCAAGACCTCTGTAACATTTCTTTTAATTTAATGTTTGCTTTGGAGTAATAATGTTTTTAATCAAAATTCTAGTTATTGTATCGTTTCTGTTAGATAGAACACGTATACACATTTAGTATTTACCTTAGAATGTCTAATATTTGTATTTTTACTACAATGGCAAATCAGGCAAATTGTCTTAAGTTGATGAGAAGAATATTTATTATTAATAAAGAATGCAGCTATTAGTTTTTAGTGAAAGAAATGTTTGTCTGGATTCCGTTCTGAAAGTGCAAGGATAAACGGTTCAAATTGACTTTGAGAGCTTAAGCATATAAAATATAACAGTACTTAATGTTGTAATTTTTTCTGAAAGTTTTTAATTGTCAATTTTTTTTATATGAAACTGATCTTGTGATGCTTAATTCTTAAAACCTTTTCACTAGCTTCACTTGCCAGAAGGTGTGTCATGTGATGTTATCTTATCAAGCATGGTCAGTGCAGGTCACTTCTTCCTGCAGCAGCCCACACATCCCACATACACCTCACTGAGTTGCCTTGACCAGTGTATGAATGCTTGCTATGCACAGACAGAAACTCCTCTACTACCACTTCCTCTTAAACGTAAGTAAATTTTAGGGAAAATACTTTTAAACACTGAGAAATTATTTTTAAATTACAAACCAGAAAAAGAGAAATGTAGACAAAAACACTAGATTAAATAGAGGAAACAGTAAGAAAAACTATTTATCAAAGAAAAAACTATTGGCTTTAAAAATTTTGTTACATAATACTAGAGATGATTGCTGGAAAAACATCAGTGGAATTATTCACATCATATGAGAAATAATTTTAATGTGTCTGTTCAACCTTCTATTGATTCAAAAATAAAAAAAATGTCATAAATCAAAATCCTAAATTGAAGAGGTTGATATATATATGTGTGTGTGTGTCATTTTTCCAGCAGTGAAAAGTATTTTCAGTTGATGTACTTTTTGCTAAATCTATGTTTTAAGTTTCTTTATTTTCATAATTATAAAGAAATTAAAATGTATTTTAAGTTGCCCTTTAGTGGAGGAAAAGTCAGTACTTTTCTAAGTTTGAAACAAAGGAAAGTCATTTTTTGGAAAGATGTTTTGAAGTAGAATAATACCTCATTGATACTGAAATTGAGTATTTTGAGGTACTAGCTGAGAAAGCAGAAACAATACAGTTTAATGTCAAATAACATTTGAATAATTCAGAAGTTATTTTATCTGAATAACGTATTTCAATATAAAAAATAATGGTAATTTAAACAAGCAGCAACTCTTTGCTTGCTAAATTAGTATAACATCAAGCTGTATACATTTTCTTGATTTATTCTATGATAATGCAAGTCAAGCTTGATTTTTACTCTTCCTTGTCCTGTGATTATCGTTGTCAAACGTGAAAATTTGTGTATACTTTATTCATAGTTGAGTATAAATAGCTTGAATATTTGTTGATGTATTATAGTACTACTAGCTGACATACTTGGTCATTGCATTGAGGGTCACATATACCATACCCAAAGTTCTACCACATATGTTTACCCTTTCAGTGACAGGAACATAATAATGTCTCTGTCAATTATAATATTTGGTGGTCAAAATAGTACCCAGCTGGTTGCCTTCCCTGATGTCCCTAAATGTTAGATAAAAGGTTTAATGACAATCGAATAAGTAATTTGTTAGTTGTAAGAGGACACACACACACAAATAATAGTTTTAATGTTGATTATATTGTTTTAAAAGCTAGTTTTTATGGAGTAGAATCTTGGAAAATGGTGCAGTGAATTGAAAACTGCTCATCATTTGTAGGACATCTTTTACAAATAGACTTTTGAATTTGGGATTTATCAAATATAAATTCCGATATATCTTATCTCCTCTCACAAAATAGCCTTCCACTTCTGCATATCCACATGTAAATTATTATACAGCAGGTCTCCACATTTGCACTCTTTAATCACTTCTGGATTGGCAATAGTACTGTACAGATATACTTGTTTTTGCTCACAAATTTGTCAATGTTTTCCTTTATAGTACAGACTTAGTTTTTCTTTAATATTTCTTTAATTTTTAGTACTTTTAAATTGTGCAAGGCTGCTTATTCCAAATTTTCCTACTTTTTCATTTTTTTTTGCTGTGGATTTATTGACCACTACTACATTCATGCAACCTTCACCACCACATGAGGATTATCCTGTCTAGCTAATGTGGGGATTCATGCCCAGCATTTTGGGGATTAACTTTGGTCAGAAGTTAGTATGCCCCGTCTGCCTCATACATCTTAAGATCATGCTTATGCATTTCATAGATGTTCCTTCCTTTATCTTAATTCCTAACATTTGGGATATCTCATTCCATTATGAGGTTCACACCCTAATGCATCAGTGGATTTCTCAAAACCTCAATTTTCCTGGATTTATGCACTTGCTGGATCAGGCAATTCACTTATCTCCTGAAGGGTTTTCAGATGATGTTCGCACTCTTCTGCTTACTACAATGGCACATCTTTCATCTTCAGCCCTGACTTTTCAGACGTGGCTGAATTACTGTTTGGACCTTTCAGGACAGGTTGCCATTCTTTCTCGAGTACAATTACTTGCTACTTCCCTGTATGACTTCCGAATGACACCTTTTTTTACATGAAGAAGTGTTTGGGGGTCTTCTCGACTTGTTTGAAGCCAACCCTTTGCCGGTCCCAGCTTCTCATTCTTCATCCCTTCGTAGTCCAGTTATTGCTCGTAGACATTTCAAAGGATTACAGCGTCAATGACTCGGCTATAGAGTTGAGGCCAGTGGGAGGCAGGCTTTTCCATTTTTGCCTCATACAAGTTCTTTCAGAGGGTTTGGCACTTCACTTCCATTCCCCTCCCCATTGTCTCCTCATACCATTGCCTTTCCCCCCACCAAGGGATCCTGTTTTTCCAGTGCTTACAGGAGGAGGTTCAGGGACTTGCGTTGATCGAGGCCATAGAACTTCTCAGCTGGGGTTTTACTTCCATCTGTTTGGCATATTCAAAAAGACGGGAGTTTGCGACCAGTTCCAGATTTATCATCCCTGAACTGTTTCTTGATCATACCAAAATTCATGATGTAGTCTTACTTAACTTATCAGTGGGTTTCACTCCCAGTTTGTGGATGATGAAGGTTGATGTGTCAGATGCCTATCTACACATTCCCATCTCCCAGACATCCAGGCATTTCCTCCGTTTTGTTCATCAGGAGGCACGTTTATCAGTTTTGGGCTCTACCATTTGGCCTGGCCTTGGCTTCTTCTACCAAGTAGTCAGGTCATTCACTTGGCTGCTTCATGCCAGAGGCCTTTGTTTCCACCATTACATGGACGATTGACTACTTCTTTGAGAGGCTGCCAGAGTGGGATGGCTCATCAAGGTGGATAAGTCTTTTGTCACACCCACACAATATCTGATTCATCTGGTTGTGTTTTTCAATTCCCTCATCAGTCGGGCCCATAATTGTGTCTTATGTCACAAGGCAAGGGGGAAACCCAGTCACAAGATCTTTGTTTCTGAACATTGAATCTCCTCTCCTGGGCCACAGTCATTACATCAGATGGTTATCATGTCATATTCCAGGTGCCATGAAACTGATCACGGAATAATTATTTCGACCTGACTAGGTTCACTCGACAGAGTGGTTATTAGATCCGTAGGGGTTTCGGGAGTTGTATGCTCACTGGAGTATTCTAGATGTAGATACTTTTGCTACATATCTCAATGCACAATTTCCTCGTTTTTGGTCTCCAGTTCCACATCCTTTGGCAGAAGCTGTAGATGATCTTAGTCAAAACTGGATAGGATATTACCTGTATGCATTATCCTAATTGTCTTCTTCCCAGAGTCTTTTCATTGATTCAGAACACTCTGTGTCAAGTGCTCATGGTGGCTCCCTTTTGGCCTACTCATTTGTGGTTTCTGCTTCTGTGCAGACTTTCAGTGTCATTTCCCCTTCTTTTGCTGTTGTCTCCCATGCTCCTTCATGAACCTCAACCAGGCATGTATCATCTATCCATTCCCGCCCTCCAGCTTTACTCATGGCTGTAGTCAGGTCCCTTGCCAGACAATCTGGATTTTCTAGGCATGTTGCCTCGTTGATTGCCTGTCCTGTACATCCTTCCTCCTTGGCAGTTTATCAGCATAAATAGTATACTTTCTGCTACTGGTCACTCTGCTGGGGATATTGTCCTTCACAACCTTCCCTACTGCAGTTGACTGCATTTTTTCCCTTGGCTCTTCGATAGAGGCCTATCAGTTTCCTCAATTGCCAGCTATTGAGCTACATTATCTTGCATGTCAGATTTACTGAGTTTGCCTCTGTTTTCCAATCTCTCGTGTTGTCTTTGTTATTTCATTTTTTCTCTTTCCCGTCCTCCCCGCCCTGTGTATCTCCCAGATTGACAGTATGAAGTACAAAATGGAGATTCCAGTCATCCTCCATTTGAACCTATATCTTTGTGTTCCCTGTATTACTATTCCTCATACATTTGTCTTGTGGCTGACAGCATTCTGATATCTTTGTGATTGAAACTTGCCATGTCCTCTTACACAGTTCCTATGTTCTCCTTTTCTATGACCATTCCTTTTTGCCCAAGACTTCTAAAACATACTTACCTCCTCTTACGCTGATAGCTATTACTCGACTTCCAGGGTTTCTTCCTTTGCCCATCTAAGCATTGGTCTGATTTTTTTCTCACTTGCTCCAGTCTTTTATACCCCACTCCATTGCACTTGGCAGTATTTATCTCATGACTCTCTTCACCTACGTCAGTGCACCTTCTATCCTGGTACTGTATAAAAACACCTCATTAAGATAATGTTATCACTTTTTCTCAGTATTATGATTGTTAAGAGATACTTTGAACATTATCTGTGTTATCTAGTTGATAATAATATTTTTTTTTTAATTTATTATTTTATTTCGATTGTCATGATGATTGTCTTGGTTAAGATTGTCAGTGATCTTATTTGTAGTGAGATGGAGACATATTTGGTTTTGTGGTTTTCTTCTTCTTACCTTCTGCTGGATGTCAGTTTCCAGTGGATCTGGTGTTGGTTGTAACTGGATGCAGCAGGTATTTCCACTTGCATATGATCGGGTATTCACCTCCTGCTGTAGACTGGAAGAAATATACCCAATGCTGCCAGGTTTTGGACCGGAGGTGTTATTCACCTGGGCTTTCCACTTTCCTACCATCCATTGGATGTTGGTTCATGGTGGACCAGGTATTAGTTTGGTTGGAAATGCATGCAAGTGGAGACAGAGTTTGGTAGAGAAGCTTGTCTTCCCTACCAATTCCTGTTTCAAGGTGAAGAGGTAGGTGATCCTCTGCCTGCTGCGGAACTGATGGACAATTCCAGATGCTGCCAGGTTTTGGATGTGGTCAAACTACCACTAATGTCTGTCATGCCCTAGCACTTGACACCCAGGGGTCCCATTAGTAGGTGATGCATATTATGGGATTCCTTCATGTTTTTCCACCTTTCATGTTCACAACACAGTCATAAAAGAGTGAAGAGTATACCTAGATCATATGTGGTGTGGTCTCCTGTTGTGGTGTGACATTTTCTTTTTGGTTCCACACATCATGGTCTTTTTTTGGGTACTTCCTAAGGGGGGGGGGGTAATTTTTTCATCAGCCCTCCACCAGTTCAATGTGGGATTATAGATATTTTGTGAGAGGAGTTAAGATATTGTATTGAATTTAAGATTTTCTTAAACTGAAAAATGCTGCATAATCATTTACAGGTGGAAGGCTAGTGGGAAAATTTTGTACCAATAGAGGGCAGCACTAATCAGAAAAGCTATATTGTGAGAAGAGTTAAATATCTATTAGAAATACATTTTCAGTTTAGGATAATGTTAATATAATACGAAATGTAACTGTGATTAGTTTATAGTTTTTACAAACAGTCCTGTTTGTGGTGTATTGTAATTTTACTTAAGCATGAACTTGACCATTAGAGACAGATATTGAAGAAAAAAAACTCTAAGGATGAAAATGATTAATAAAGCAACATTATTTGGCTTAAATCACTACTATAAGACTGTATATTTTTGTTTGTTCTAAAATTTAGCAAACCACAAAAAATGTAATACTTTCATTTTAATACTAAATTGAATGATTTTCTGTTAAATATACATATTTTCTGTCTCCTTAGCTGGTGTTATCTGTGCCGCACCTATCATGGATGGTTGGTTCCGTGTTCAGGTTGTTTATGTTTATGAAAATATGGAAGAGTGTAATGTCAAGTTTGTTGATTATGGTGGATATTCTACCTTACCTATTGCGTCTCTTAGACAAATTCGGTAAGGAATTCTCATATGGGAAATTGTGATAGCTTTAAATTGAACTCCTGAGAAAAAAATCTTATTAGCATATTGTTATTTATTGTACTAAAATACTATTGTAAGTTTTTGCTTTTCTTCTCAACAAAAGGTAAAAACTTTGCCTATAACCTGTTATTGTTTCTCTTAAGTTTTTATATGCACTCAAATGATTTAAAACAAAGTAGTTGTAATCAAAGATGATTTAATATTAGGTTAAATTTGCAAATGGTAATAGTTTATTACCAGAAGATAGTTTTTGCTTCGATTGGAAAATGTATTAAAATTTATTTAGTGAAATGTTTCAATTGTTGAGTAAAATGCTATTTATGCAAGTAATTTTGGAAAACTTCAAATGTTTGTATTCTCTGACAATAAGAATTTTCAATGTGTTTATATATATTTTATATATTATTTTAGTTCAAATCAGTCCACAGGGTAGTAAGATGAAGTGGTAGGTTATTTTTGTTATTAATAAATATATAAAAAATTCTAGACTTTGTGAAATGAGATAATCAGCTTTTAGGCTCATGTATTATTTTGAAAAGTTGTATTTGTATTTTTCTTGCTAGTAGTAAAATTCAAGTTTTCAACATCTCATTGTCCATACAAATCTCGCACCTTAGGAATGTGGCTAATATGTTCACATTTAGTTACAATCATCACATTTAATATTGTTGCACTTGAAACACTCTTAAATATTCTTTATGACCTTAATGTTTAAAAAATCTAAAGAGAAATGTTAGAATGTTGTAATATGTAATTACATTGATTTTAGGAAAAAAAATAGTTTTGTTTTGAATAATCGAATATTCTGTTGATATTAAGATTGATTGTAAAATGGCAGGCTTGATTTAACTTTTTTTTTTTTCTTTTGTTACTTAGTTATGTTTATTTTGAAATGGTTATAGTATAAGGAGATACATTTCTCCACAGGAATTTATTAAACTTTTAAAATAGACGAATATATAAAGTTGATTCATAACTGTAGTTTGTACTTGTTTTGTGAAATTTTTCTTTGAAATTGTTTTTATATTGAAGTTGCAGAAAACATTTGGGTTAAAAAGTAAATTTTATTGGTATTGCAAGATTGACCATTATCATAAAACTTAAAACTATGGTTTTTGAACAAGGAATATAAGTGCTTGTAAAGAACTGGGGATGAATATGAAAAAATTATTCTTTTAATGTTAAAAACCTATTGGGTATAGTGGTGTACTTGCACTTGACATTTATTTTAAATCAAATCTTTGTAGTCTTGTGATTTTTAACATGATCATGCTTTATGTGTTAGCTAAGACTGCTTGATGTTTTTTTGTTTAAAAATTTTAGCTTATTCTTATCACAGTGAAAATTCTGTAAAGTTTTCCCACTAATGTAAACATTGCTATTTTAGTATTGTTGATAAATTGTAAAGTTAGTTTTCTATCTAGGACTCGTAGCACAAGAATCTATTTACCCTTCACTTCTGGCAGGAATCAACAACTAGTAACCCATTAAACAACTATTATCATCTTTTTTAGATGTAAGAAAACAACATATTCTTCTAATAGTGATTGCATTGATAATATTTTGATTTCTCAAAATCTGGAATCATGTAAAACTTGTATAAAGTAAGGCATATCCTAATGTTACTGGTGCTTTAAGGTTTGGAAAACACATTTTAGATTGGCTGTTAATGTAAATACTGATTATGTTGATTTTTTTTTATGTATCATCATTAACTCTTTTAACCCAGGCTCAGTCCCTGGAACCAACCTCATAACCATTTTGTGCTTGTTATAGTTTTCATGCTGTAACTTTTAAATTAGTAAGCGATGTTAACGAAATTGGGCAGTTTATCAGTAAACATTACAATGCTTTCATATGCAAAATATATAAGTTTTTTTTTTTATAATTCCTGAGGGTTGTAAAACAATGTTTCTCTCATGCCTTTTTATTCTTTTCACATCTTGCCTATCTATCATGCAAAATAATTTTCATTTTAACATTAAAAATACTTTTATGCATCAAAAAATGTTGAAATTTCACATGCGAAATCTTTATATTTCGTATGTTATTTTCAGCAATTAATCTCTGTATGGGTTCAGTAAATTTGACTGATCTTGCAACCACCATAAAAATTAGGAAATAAACATAAAATATGCATTTTCCATTCTAGAAATTGAACACAAGTTATAACACGAAA